CGCCGCCGGGGAGCCCACGGCGCTGCCCGCCTACCCGGCGGCCGAGCCCCCCGGGCCGCTGTGGCTACAGGGCGAGCCGCTCCATTTCTGCTGCCTGGACTTCAGCCTCGAAGAGCTGCAGGGCGAGCCGGGCTGGCGGCTGAATCGGAAGCCCATCGAGTCCACGCTGGTGGCCTGCTTCATGACCCTGGTCATCGTCGTGTGGAGCGTGGCCGCCCTCATCTGGCCGGTGCCCATCATCGCCGGCTTCCTGCCCAACGGCATGGAGCAGCGTAGGACCACCGCCGGCGCTGCCGCGACCACCCCCGCCGCAGTGCCTGCGGGGACCACCGCGGCGGCGGCCGCCGCCGCTGCTGCTGCCGCCGCCGCCGCGGCCGTCACCTCGGGGGCGGCAACCAAATGACCCGCTCCGCTCCTCCCTGCGTCCGTCCGGTGTTCGCGCTGTCGGGTGCCTTTCCGGCCGGAAGACTCGGCCGCTGTGCTTCGTGCTGTAGTGACCGTTAGATCCTCCGGGGAGGGGGCCGCCAGAGAGGCCCCAGAGTATTTGAAAAGCAAGGTTTGTGCTGCGCTCCTTGCTCCGAAAAAGCTTGATGTGAGTGAGCCCTAAGACTGAACAGTGGGATCCGCAGCCTTGAAGTCAGAGAGGAGGGAAATGGGCCCTTTCCCCTCTGTTGCATCCCTCTCCCCTCTTCCTTCCCTGCACCCACGTGCCCTATGTTCATGGCAGAAAATGACCAAATCCTGTGTATTTGTTTTATATATTTAATAACTGTTTTAAATGAAAGTTTTACTAAAAAAAAAAAAAAATCAAATTGCTATTGCTGTAGTAAGAGACGCTCTTTATATCCGAACATAGTTGTATTTGAAGTGTGTTGTTTTTTTTAATTTATTTAAAAGGAGGGGAGGCATGGGCAGGATTTAACACTGATATATTGTTAGTGCTGCAGATGAACTTTATCTTTTCCAAGTCTATCTACCCAGTGGTGTGGCCTGGTGGGCGTTTCTTCTTGTACTTCTGTGGTTTTTTGGCTTTTAATACAGACATTTTCCTCCAGCGATGCCTACGTGGTTTGGTTTGGCTTGGTGTTGTTTTGTTTTTCCTTTATTTGATTTAGGAAACAGAATCCAAGAATTACAAGATGTTCCCCTGAAACGTGAGGGAGGGGATCTCCAAAAAGTTAGTGAAGGGCGAATTCTGGGTCCCCTACCTGGCTGGGAGAGGAGGGATGTGGCACCATGTCATTTGCCTGAACGGTGGTTGTTTTGCCTCTCACAACACTGCTCCCCCAAACCCAGCACCCCCATCACAATGGCCAGCAAGGTTTTGTGATTTATTAGCCACTGCTCCAAGCTCTGCAAAACAGCCAGTAAAGTGCCAGAAATGATGAAGTCAATAGTTCTCCGAGATGGGTATCTTTCATAGAAATGACTCATTTTAAATGGCGTATAGATTTTATTTATTTTCAAATGTGTAAATTTAGCAGATCAGCTCATTCCCAAACCTGAGTTATTATTTTGGCATTGGTAAGATTTTTTTTTTTTTTTATGTGAACTCTTGGGGACTAAAGAGTTAATGATCACAGGGCACCCCCTCTTCCATGTTCCAGTAATTTCAGAGTCTTCTCCATTTTTCAGAAGAGTAAAAGAAAAGTCCTTAAAGTGACTTAATATAAAAAGAAATTTTTAAGTCTTTCAATCAGACTGGAAAAGCTTTTACCCTTGCCTCATCTCCTCCACACACTGGAGTGAATGCTTCGATTGATCTAGAGCTGTATGTAGTTCTCAAAGTGTGGTCCATAGACCAGCAGCATCAGCATTACCTGGGAACTTTAGAGATGCAAATTCTTGAGTCCCACTCGGGACCTACTGAATCAGAAACTGGGGTGGGGCCAGGCAATCTGTGCTTTAATAAGACCTTCAAGGGAGCCATGGTGGCGCACTAGTGAAGAGCTCAGCTGCTAACCAAAAGGTCAGCAGTTTGAATCCACCAGCTGCTCCTTGCCAACCCTGTGGAGCAGTTCTACTCTGTCCTACAGGGTTGCTACGAGTCCGAATTGACTCGACTGCAACAGGTTTGGTTTTTCGTTTGGTTGGTTGGTTTGTTCAAGGGATTCTGATGTGTTTTAAGTTTGAGGAACACCATGCTAGTGGAAGGGAAGCTTTGAATGCATGTAAGCTTTAATCTTGAGATGTCTGTTATATCAAAGAGATGGGGCCCTTCATAGGAAGCTGTCGAAGGAGAGGATGGGTCACTGCTGCCCCTATAGCTCTTTGGGGTCCAGGGATATCTCTGTCGGAGGTCAGCCTCTGAGGGAGGAGGGGTCGGGGACTGCGGTCTTCCTCCATCACCTGGTTTGATGTGAAGTTCAATGGAATGCAAATCCACTAGGCTAGCATGTCATTGTGAATCTTCTTGTGTCACAACCAAGGTAGGCTGTGAACTGCACCATTTGCCCACCCTTTGGTGACTAGCAGGAGAAAATAACTTTGCCAACCTTGATACGTTTTAATGTTATATAATCATAGCATTTTTAATTCTGGAAGGCACATCGAGTATTCTCTAGCACAACACACACAGGATCACTCTCCTTGCTTTTTTCCCATGGTGGAAACAGACTCAGAGAGGTATAGCACCTTGCCCTCAATCACACAGCTACACAAGATCGAGCTGAGACTACACCCGGGTTTTCTGCCTCTCAGACTGGTACAGTTTTTATCACCAGAAACTTCTTTTCTTAGGAGAATTAGGAGCTAAGCACGCAAGGTCTGCTCTTCTGTGGACCCACCCCATCACTGTCAGATTCTGTGCAATGTAAACCCAAAGGAGCCAGACAGCATTAACTGAAAAAAACACATTCATAATTTGTGCTGTAAACTTTCACCTAATACACAATAAAAATTTCTTCAAAAATGTACCAAAAAATACACCTAACAGATTATTTTTAAAAGCATTGAGTGGGCCCTAATGAATATCTTCTTAGGGTGGGCTTGAAATATCAATTATTTACTCGTACAGATTTTCAGAGAACTGAGGAAATACCCACACTCTTAGGGGAGCTAATCCCTTATTTATTTATTATCTCGTTTGGTCTTCCTAATTATCCCGCAGTATGCCATTTTATAGATAGGAAAATTGAGGCCCAGAGAAGTTAAGTAACTTGCCCCAGGGTGACAAAGCTGTAGGTGGTAGAATTCTAACCCCAGCTCATCCGACTCAAAGTCCGTGTTCTTCCCTCAGCTCCACGCAGCCCCTCCCATGGCTGTCTATCAGTAATTCTTTCTTGGTCCTTGGGTGGTGCAAATGGTTAAGTGCTCCGCTACTAACCGAAAGGTTGGCGATTCGAACGCACCCACAGGTGCCTCAGAAGAAAGGCCTAGCTATCTGCTTCCAAAAGGTCACAGCCTTAAAAACCCTATTCTGCACACAGAGGGTCACCATAAGTCGGGTGGACTGGAGGGCAACTGGGTTTAGTTCTTCCCGGACGGGAAACGAAGAATGCCACTGTAACTCATGTGCAGAGGCGCACACACCCTAGATTCCAGTCCGTTGATAAAGCCTCCTGGGAACAGTTCGAGTTTCCAGGAACATAGCTAAATCCCCAGGATAAATCATTATTCTCGGTTAACCTGACATCTCCTGAGAGAGAGTTTACCCGGGGGGTGAATATGTACCCACCCCTCCAAAATCCCTTGGCTGCTGGTGGCAGCCCTACTGAGCTTTCTCTTAGCATTGTAAGAGCTGCCTCCAGCCCCAGATGGGAACGTCCTAGTCTCCTTTGGGGATTGCCTCAGCTGAAGAAAGCCACCTTGCCTGAAGCCACACACCCCCTCCTGGGGCACCACATCTAATGACTGACTAGCGTGGGGGTATAAACCCAGCCTTCTTGCCCCAATTAGGGACAGCCCTGAAATGTCCTCCCACCTTCAGAATTCCCCACAGGGCTGGCTGAGACTTCCTTTCAGACTGCATGGAGGTTCAACTTCTCCTTCTGCCCTCTCCTGCTTCCTGCCACCACCACCACCCCCGCGCACATGTGTTAATCCAAGAGCACTCCCTAATAAACCTCCGGTACACTCATCTCTATCTCAGCGCCTGCTTCCGGGAGCCCAACCTGCCGCACTCAATTTACCTAATGAGGTGCAGCATTGTTCTAGCCCCGGGGTCATTAAGCACGTATGAGGAGCAGATCACATAAATGTACATCGTCTGTATTACTTTCACATAGACCACACATTTCTACTTTTTCTCTTCCCTTCTGGATAGTTCTCTAATATCCACAGTCAGTGGCGATGTGGAAAATGCCCCCAATGCCATTTCTTGCTTAATCATTGCACCTCAAAGATAAACCAAGAAAACCAAACCAGTTGCTTTTGAGTCAATTCCAACTCATGGCAACCCCACGTCTTGCAAAGTAGAACTGTGCTCCATAGGGTTTTCAAGGCTGTGACCTTTCGGAAGCAGATCACCAGGGCTTTTTCTCAGGCGCCTCTGGGTGGGTTTGAACTGCCAACCTTTCAGTTAACAGTTGAGCATTTAACCGTTTGCACCACCGGCGGACTCCTTCCTCATCGATACACATGTCAGAAGAAGGCCTTGTTTCTTTCTTTCTCAGATCACTATATCAGTCAGTGTGCACTGGGTTATGCTGCAGGAATACGCAACTTCAACATCTCAGTGACTTACCACAAGAAAAGTTTACTGCTTGCTCATGCTGCATGTCCGAAGTCGGCAGGTATTCTGCTCTTTGGAATCATTCAAGGACCCAGGTTGAAAGTTACTCCTACTTGACAAATGTGGCCACCATCCTCTAGGTACCAACAAAAAACTAAACCCATCGCCGTAGGCAGAAAGAAACTCAGTAGATTCTCCCAGAGGCAATTAAATTCTCTAGCCCGGAAGTCATATCCTTTCTGCTCATTGGTCAGAACTCGTCATGTGGTGTCAGAAGACCCACCCCCACCACGCTCCTCCCTCTCACGCTCACCGAGTGTGTTCTCCGGGGCTTTCTGTCCTCTCGCTCTGTCTTCTGTTGTGTTACCCACAAGACTACCCCGAAGACAAGTATTTCCCCTGGACCTACTGCTCTTAGAAATTTTCAAGAACGTTACTCTTCCCTGAGCCTACAACCTCCCATCAGCTCGAAGTGACTTCTTAAACTTACCAAATTTCTCCGATGCTTCACCTGGGGACTTTTCCATGCTGGTCATTTCCTATGTTTTCTCCAAAGCCAGGGTCTCTGTAAGCAGGAGGCCTCTTACCTTTCATGGCCTTCTGTGTCTTTTCTAAGATGCTGCCTTCTTGTCTCACACTTCACCTCCAGTTATTAAGATCACACAATCCTCCAGCCAATAGGTCTGTCCCGTATGGCTCCTCTCCCAGCCTCAGCATCCCTGAAGTCTGTG